ATAAACAAAACTTAGTCACTACCTAACATCATGTACAACATAAATTCCATATTCATACCTGTTTCAAAAAATAATGAAGGTTTGGGAGGTAATATATGGGAACTATCTCCCATATATTACATTGTCATCTTAAATAGGAGATTTAAAAAAAAAAGGAATGTACTGATGTTAAGACTATTGCCTCCGAGTGTTCACCAACCCTAAGCTATTCACAATCTTTTCTCAATTGTAGCCAGTTCCTCACAATGAAAGACCCATCTTAAACCGGCTGAATCATCCCAAATTCCTAAAAATACCCTACCCTGAGTCATCCCAAATTCCTAAAAGTATCCTACCCTAACATCACCTTTCTGAATCATTACCAAGACTGTGTCAAGCTGAGGTTCTTCCTTGTCACAGGTTTAATAAACAACTCAGCTTTGTCTGATCAGCAGTTTTCTTTGGCGATCTTTGTCAGGGAGTCAAAAATTGAGTCTTTATCTTTTTGAGATATAAACTGAAATATTTATGGATGAAATTATATAATTTCAGAGAAAAATTTAAAAATAGAGAAAGTAAACAGGGATAGATAAGATTGGTCATCGATTGTTGAAGCTGGGTAATGGTTCATGGGAGTTCATTATACTACTCTATTTTTTTATGTTTCAAATTTTCCATATTAATAAAAATAGTTATATTTCTTCTTCTTGTCCTTAAGAGGGGATATTCATTAGGGTGATAGTAAATATAACTTTTCTGATCATGACTACCAGGCTTACAACCAGAAAGCATCTAGGCGAATGTAGCCTAAGTCAGGATGGACTTTGCAGCTCTGCCCCTCGTGGAAGGCAGGGAAGAGCAGAGGGGTTGTAGATTTGAAAGAAATAACTCTTTTCAATGCTGTCCTACAACACCCGTAATGTAGACTAAGAATAAATATACTTAACTTAAATTTGACATTTCTTGGTTTAAAAAAGTGGGGGTAGAGAATATTTGTTGGGCTTTATTTATTCAGATAGTAAAACTGTGCTACAGTCAGCTAAATTCTTAGTTGTGCTTAGAATGGGCTCCCTCCTACATTCTACACTGGAAAAATGAAATTTATTCTTTCTTAGAATCATGGACTCTGAAACCGGCAGTTGCTAGGATTCCACACACACACAGAGTGATGATCAATTTGAGGCTTTGAATAACTACTCATGTAGATTGACTTTTCTGTGCATTTGTATGGAGGAGGAACCAGCTCAGGTTGATGTCCTGGGAACCAGTGAGGCTCTCGCTTAAACCCTGAGGGAAGAAAAAAGAGGAGTCTTAGTAAGTAATCTCTGTTATTTCTGAGCGAATATGCAGTGAAACCTGTCAAAGCTGAGAAAAGAGAGAAATCATTCACTCATTTAAATTTTCTTTGTGTTCCTTCTGAGGTGATAAGAATTAAAAAGAATAGGTCACCTACTATGGGTTGAAAGTGGTCTTCTGTTGTTGTAGCTTGTATCATATGTTGTTTCAAAGTAGTGTCCAAACTGGAAAGAAAAGGGAGTAGTTCAAAAATACAGGTGTCTATAGCCAAAGCTGGGAAATAAAGGATACAATGGCATAAATTCTAGCAGCCTCTATAATATTTTAGATTGACTAGAGATTTATACATGTCATTAACCTATATCCTACCAATCTTTATATCCTGTGTATGTTTGTTTAGGAGATTTCAGGGCAAGATAAAGATAAATGACAAATCTAGCTGGCAGGGACCAGAGGAGAAACAAACCTGAATCAGAAGACATTATATAAATATTTCTGTAGACTAATGAAGTCCACAGAAAAGCAAGAGAAAAAGCATGATGCTCATCCTTTTATTACCTTGCAGTTGTTTAGTAGCTAAGTTATGTCTAACTCTTTGTAACCCAATGGACTATAGCCCGCCAGGCTCCCCTGTCCATGGGGTTTCCCAGGCAAGAATACTGGAGTGGGTTGCCATTTCCTTCTCCAGGGGATCTTCCCGACCCAGGGACTGAACCCGCGTGTTCTGCCTGGCAGGCGGATTCTTTACCACCAAGCCACCTGGGAAGCCTTACAATAACATAATATTCAGCTTGATTGTAAAGTGGGATAAGTGTTTCACCTGAGGACTACTGCCCTCTTCCAACCATTCACTGAACAGAAGCCTGAAAGATCTCAGCATTGGAAGTTATCAGATTCCTGTTTCTCAAATGGGCATTGGTATTTCTTTTGCTAACAGAAGAAAACAAAGAAGAGAAAGTTCAATTACCTGGGAAGGCAAGGGTTTGGGCTGCACAATATTCTTTATGTCATATCTTTCCTGGTTCCAGTTGCCCATCAAGGTACGGTTTGAATAGGCATCTTCATTAGTGTTGCATCTCCATCCATACTGGAAAAACTTGGACATGTCATTCCAATCCGTCCACACTTCAGCATGGCCATTTGCGTTAATGAGGCTGCCATAGTGTGGGTTTGTAAGGAAACAGGCAAGGACCTGTCTCTGGGAAAAGGTGGCAATAGAAAAGTTTGTTGCACAAACCAGAAAGCAGACAACACATCCCTTTCTCGTCCTTGGCCAAGCATAAGTACACCTTCTAAAGATCTAGGCTTTCCTCTCAGTTTAATAGTTATCGTTCTGTTTCTTTCCAAGTTCATAAATTCTTTGACCTACCCTCTCAATCAGCAGTAGTAGATGACTAAATAGATTAAATGCACCTCCCCAAAAGATAAGAGAACTTCAGTACCCTAATACTATTGGATAACTAGAAAATATTCTGGTGATTTTGAGGTGTAAGAATGTAAGGAATAAGTACTGCTATCATCAAAGAGAAGAGAGGGAAGTGAGAGCTGGATAACTAGATAATACGATAGATCAATGATCAACAAATGATGGTTTCCTTCCTTTCGGCCCAGCTCAAATGCCACATCTTAGGATACGGCGTTCCCTTTTCATGATGCCTTACCTTAAGTTAACTTCTTTCACACTTCACACTTCTATATATCCATAACTTTATACCACATGTTAGAGTTCTTCAAGGAAGTGTGGAATCTTTTACACTGAACTATGCATCGCTTGAGGACAAGATCTGTCACTTTTTCATTACTGCACCCTCTCCCTCTGTATACCCTCCCAATCAATAGTAATTTGCACATACCAGATAACCAATGTCTGAATTTCAACTTTTTGGGTAAGGAATCAAAAGCCTAACCATTTCTAATTTTGGTTAAAAGTTCAGTCTGGTTCCTTGGCTTAGGAGCAAGACAATACCTTCTCTGAAGATGAATACTTTGAAGTTGAGGAGCTTGTGACTGAAGATTTTATAGCAGAGTAACAGCAAACCTTACTCTGACATTCCATATTTTTTAAAAGAAGAGATGACACTAAACCTGGCCTTCCCAGTTCTCCAGGCAAAGAAAGAATTTAGATCGCCCAGATCACCAGGTGGCCATGATTCGGTAGTCATCACCCACCCACCTTTCCACAGCTAGAGACAAAGCCAACACTGTTAAGTTTAAAGGTAACTGCCCGCATGTCATGGGCCTTTGTGAAGACAGATGCATGCACTTATGTGAACAAACAGCATGACCACTAAGAGCAGTTGGTCCCACAAAGTCCAACAGGCCAAGGACTCAGACTACAGATCAAGATGACACTGTCCCTGGGGCTGTTAAGGACAGACATCCCCACCCACTTAGTTGTCCAAACCTGAAACCTGGGGCTTATCTTTGACTCTTGGTTTCTCTTTCAACTCCCTTACATCTATTCAATCACTAGGTCTTGTCGGTTTTTGAATCAGTGCACTACCCTCCATCTCCACTACCAAGCTTCAATTCAGATCACTTTCAGCCCTAGTCTCCATTACTGCAGTAGCCTTCTATCTGGACTCCTTGCCACCAACCTTGTTCTTCTCCTATCCTTTCTCCATAGGAAAGCAGAATTTTTAAAAATGAAAATCTAATTGTGTCATCTCCCTACTTAAAAATCTTTCAGTGGCTGGCCACTGGTTTCAGACTAAGGTTCAGGCTGTAAAAAAAATGCCTATATGATCTGGTCCCTGCTTTTCAGTCTCATCTGTTATCCACTCTCCCTCAGACTACATTTCAGTCAAACTCAGCTACTGTGTTTTTCCATCATCATGCTTTTGCATTTATTGTTACAGAAGTAACAGTCCTTTTTCAGTCCTCCTGACTCAGGTAAGGTGTAGTCGTGTGTCCACCCCCCCACCACCCCCGCTTAGCTTTCAACTCAGGTGCACTTCAGCCACAAAATCTTTCCACTTCATCCCCAAACTTGGTAAGGGTCCTCTTCAGTGTGCTCCTCAGCGACCTGAATAACTCCATTCATGGTACTGCATCTCACTATAGCAAAATTGTCTCTTTCGCCGGGCATCCTCCACCACACTACAAGCTCAGAGAAGTCATAGGCCACATCCTGTTCCTCCATATATCGAACAGCCTTCATAGGCCTGGGACATAACAGACACTCAACACTTCTTGAATGCATACAAGGTAGGGGAAAGAAGCACCTGGAAAAACTCCGAATAACAATGACAATCGGTTGCAGTCATGTCGGATGAGATGAAGGCTGTTACAAAATCCTCTGAGTCAGGATGCAGAACACAGCACCATCTCTCCTTGGCCTCAGCCCGGCCCTGCTTCCTTCACTCAGAACTCACTTCACCTTCGACCTGTTTCCCCTCCACCCCTCCACCCCCGAGGCTAGTGACTGCTCAAGACCCTCAGGCAGGTGTGACGAAGTCGCTCAGGGCCGCCCTTGGGCTCAAAAGCATTTAACACTTCCGATGGGGCGAGGGAGTGAGGGGACTGGGTGGCCGGTGTCTCGCTCTTGCTCTCATGGCTATTTTCCCACTCGGGACGTCGCGGCCCCAGTTTGCCAAGACAACCAGACGCTGTGACGCGTCATCAACCAGCAACGCGTGAATAGGTGGGGCCACAAGAGACTCGCGAAGGAAGTGACGTAAAAAAAGAGCGCCTCGGAGAACTTGAGACGGGAGCACGTGGGGGCCATGGCCCCGCGGCGCCTCCTGTTGGTTGGGGAGGGGAATTTCTCTTTTGCCGTCGCTCTGAGTGAGACCCTGGATCCAAACACCAGTCTAACCGCCACCTGTCCCCAGCGCCCAGCGGACCTGGCCCAGGATCTGGTGGTCCAAGAGAACCTACAGCGCCTGCGCGAGCGAGGTAGCGAAGCCCAGCCCTCTACGAAGCCCCGCCCAGCTGTGGCGCCCCCCCCCCCCCCCCCCCGAGTGGAAAGGGTGGGAACAGTGGGGATTCAGGGAACTTGGCCGTTGCTCTTGGTCTTCCCCGGGGCTTCCCAGGTGGCTCTAGTGGTAAAGAACCCGCCTGCCAATGCAAGAGTCGTAAGAGATGAGGGTTCGATCCCTGGGTGGGGAAGATCCCCTGGGGAAGGGCATGGCACCCTACTGCAGTATCCTTGCCTGGAGAATCACTTGGACAGAGGAGCCTGGCCGGCTACAGTCCATAAGGTCTCAAAGAGTCTGACTGGACCAAGGCGACTTAGCACACACTCACTTCATCTTCCCATGGACATTTACAGACAGCCTGCTGTGTGCCTGGACTTGGGCTAACACTTGCACCTTGTGTTAGGCAGGGTTTTTCTCTTCTTCCATGGCTTTATCATATCCTTCTGTCTATATTTCGTGCCAGGTAACGAGGTACGCTTCGGTGTGGACTGCACCCACCTGGCAGATGCCTTTGAACCGCAAGACAGAGAATTTGATCGAATTTATTTTAACTTTCCGCACTGTGGGCGCAAAGCTGGCGTAGCTAAGAACAGGGAACTGCTTGCCAAGTTTTTCCGGAGGTGAGGAGAGCTGAGCATTCACAAGTGAAATGTTTAAGATGTACATTGCATAGTTCCTACTCTCAGACATGTTAGTGTGGGAAATAGGACATACAAGAGAACGTGTTGCTCCAAAGTAACCCACAGTCTAGTTGGAGAGGCAGACGTTTAACCCTAAATGCTCAGTACAAGTGCAAACATGTACTATTGGGCCAGAAAAGGGAGGATCGCCTATTTTTGATAATGCAAAATGATAGTAGCCAGTATAGACTAATTTAGGAGCCAAACCATCTGCATTCAAATCCCCACCCACCACTTAAGAGCTTTGTGGCTTTTGTGATTGTCTACTTGATCCTAATTTGCTTTTGCTTCCTCATCCGTAAATGAAGATATTAACATAACTACCTCATCCAATTATTGTGAACTTAAAACAGTGCTTTATACTATTTTACCAAAACATGAAACATAGTTATCATGAAACTTTGCACAGAGGCAGTGTTTTAAGTTAGTCTTTCAAGTACAAGTAAAATTTTAACAAGCAGGAGGGGAGTGGAACGGACAGCTTTCTAAATGGGAAAGAACAGCCTGATTACTGAATCACATCTAGGAATTTTATAGACATTGACTTTTCAATGAAATATAGGTGAACAATAGCAATGTGAAGCTGGATAACTTTCTGGTCAGCCCCTAGTATTAGTTATGAGTTGAGCATTGAATTTAAATTCTTACTTACTTCCAGATCCCTTTTTTGCATGTTTGAAGTCTTAATAGATTTTTGCAAATAGATATGATTGGATTTTAATTATCTCACAGACAAACCATGTATATACAGCTGACTCCTACTTGTTTCTGGTAAATGACTGGTGTTTCCTTATCCCCTTTAGCTGTGCAGATGTTCTTGCAGAGGACGGAGAAATCCATGTGGCATTATGTAGAGGACAAGGTGGGACTCCTGCTGATAAGCCAATGAGAGAATGGCACAACAGTTGGCAAGTGGTTGCTATGGCTGCTCTGGGGGGTTTCATTTTAAGTGATGTGCATCCCTTCAGCTGTGAGGCTGTGCCAGGGTACAAGTGCACTGGATATAGGTAGGTAATAACAGAGATCTAAGCTTTTTCCATCTCTCTCACTACTGATAAAAAATCCCATTGACACTTTTTCTCGCTAATTTCTTGATTCAGCCTTTAGGAATAATTGCTTTCTTTAACAGTGACAGACTTAATAACTGCTATTTTGCCAGGAGTCAAGATAAGTCCTTTCATATAGAAGGGGCCTTGAACCATATCTTCACCCGGAGCTTACCCTTTGAAAGTTTGCAACCAAGAATCTGTAGGATCAAACTGGGTGACCAGTTTTTTTCTTTTCTGGAACCAGAAGTACTTGTAGGAAAACTGAACAGGTAACCTGATTTTACCAGAAACTTCTTCTGTCTTTAGTTGTATCCTGATTGACTTAATATATCAGGCAGTCATACATTGAATGGATGCTACGTTAATTGTTAACGATGTTGTGCTGTGAATACTTATAAGTCTGACCTACACAGCCTCTTTATAATTACAATTTTTCATATTATCTGCAAATATCTTATGATATCACTTATATGTGAAATCTAAAAAAAAAAAAAAAAAAGGCTACAAAACAGAAATAGTTACAGATGTAGAATACAAACTTATGGTTCCAAAGGGTCGGGGGGTATAAACTGGGAGACTGGGACTGGCTGACACATATTTCTGTATATAAAATAGATGACTAATAAGGACCTGCTGTATAGCACAAGGAATGCTACTCAGTACTCTGTAATGGCCTATATAGAAAAAGAATCTAAAAAAATGAGTGGATAGATGGGACTTCCCAGGTGGTGTTAGTGGTAAAGAATCCATCTGCTAATGCAGGAGATGCAAGAATCATGATTTCGATCCCTGGGTTGGGAAGATCCTCTGGAGTAGGAAATGGCAACTCATTCCAGTATTCTTGCCCGGAAAATCCCATGGATAGAGGAGCCTGGTGGGCAACAGTCCATGGGGCTGCAAAGAGTCAAGACAGAACTGGGCACAGCACAGCATGTGTATATGTATAACTGATCTGTACATGTGAAACTAAAAGCAATATTTTAAATCAACTATACTCCAGTAAATTAAAAAAAAATTATCATATTTTCTGGTATATTATAGGCTGTCAGAATTCTGAAACGCATGCTGTCTCTCTTTATAGGAGATGATTTCTTTGTTTCCTTTTTGGATCAACTTAAGGATAATTCTTTTTATTCAGCTATTCTTTTTAATTCTAGCTATGTTACAATAATGTATAATTTTAAGTTTAAAAAGTTCTTTTTGTGTGTGTTTAAACAGGGGCTTCCTAGAAGCACCTTCATGTCATCCTATCAAGACCATAAATGAGAAACTCCTTGCTGAATTGGGGAAAGCTTTTCCTCTAAAAAGGCTGAAGTGTTCGTCCCCTTTGCTGCCACAAGGAGACGCCAGTGTTCTCACATCCCACAACCCTGACATCCTATCAACTGCCTTTTGGGTTACTGTCCATGAAGATAACTCAAACTTTGAGTCCCTGACTAGTGGGACAACACAAGACATGGAGGACTTTGTAGTGTCATTTTTAGAACTCAGCTTTCCCAAGAGCCCTAGAAGAGACAGGAAGGAAGAAGCTCATGGAGGAACGTATGGCCAGGCCCAGGTCTGCCTCAGACCTTCTCTTCTGGTTCACATCCAGGCTGTAATCCAAGCACCAGACTTTCTCCCTGGCTCTCTGCACATCCTCAGTGGACCTGTCTTTCAGAGGTGCTGCATCTCACCTTTCACGATGCCAGCATTTCACGAGACTTTGTATATCCTTGGATTTAATAAAAATCTGAAGGACAGCTGTCTTCAATCACTATTGGATCATCTGAAGGGCATTCTAGACAACCTTCTGACCCAGACATGGCTGGAGGGCTCTGAGCTGAGCAGTTCAGTGGAATTTGTCTTTCAGCCAACTGGGGAAAGATATATGATTACTGTGAAGTCTCAAAATTTTGGCCCAGATTGTGTTAAGGACCTGATTATTGGGTCTGTTACCACATCTGCTACAAGCGTGATACACAAAGACCAGTGTTTTGTGTGTGTGTCTATGAACTTGGACCTCTTATCTATGCTTGTCTGGGGTATCTCCGATTGGAGGATGCTGTGGACCTCTGATAGTCGTTTCCTGAAGAATTTTGCCCCTGGAAAAATAGAACCCTTTAAAAGCTATTCCCTGTATCCTCCATACTATGTGCATGATATTAGTTTTTGGTTAGATGAAAAGAAAAGATTTGATGAAGTTGAGTTTCACACTCTGGCTCGAGCAGTGTCCCAGGACACCATTATATCCATACAATTCCTTAGTCGTTTTCAGCATCCAAAGACTGAACAGGTCAGCCTCTGCTATAGACTGACCTACCAGGCCTGTGACAAGGCCCTGACCCAGCAACAGGTAGCATCAATGCAGTCCCAGCTTAGGAAGGAGATTCAACAACGACTCCATGTGACACCTCGGTAGTTTTAGTAAACTCATCTCTCCATAGTGATCCTTGTGGGTGTGGGTGGGAAAAGACCAACTTGTACGCTGTAGTTCTTTCTGGACTTTTTGTTTGTCTTGTAAAAATCTTCTACTTTGTAAAAGATTGGTTAATTGAGGGGCTTCCCCGGTGGTCCAGTGGTTAAGAATCCACCTCACAGAGCAGGGGACAAGGGTTTAATCCCTGGTCGGAGAACAGAGATCCCACCTGACTCAGAGCAACTAAGCCCTCATGCTGTGACTACTGAGCTTTCACTCCAGAGCCTGTGTGCCAGAACTAGGGTCTGAGCGCTACAAGGAAACAGCCCTCGTGATGCGGTGAAGATCCTGAGTGCCGCAACTAAGACCCAATGTGGCCAAATAAAACTTTAAAAATGTAAAGATTGGTTGTTTGGCTCAAAACATACCTGTGGCTCAGTCGCTGAGACTATAATGTGATTGGTGACCTTCGGAGGTGTGCAACATTTTGATCATGAGTAATGACAGGGAAACAAAACACCATCTTAAACACTAGATTCTATCATTCTGAAGAGACAGTAAAACTTCAGTGTCTCTTCAAATATATTTATAAATATATTTTATGCAATGTCAATTCCTCTTCCTTAACTCTACCATATCATCTCTCTAAGAATCAACTGATAGTGGTTTTTAAAGTTAGACCATTTATTAGCTTGGATAAATTGCAGGTGCTTCATATTATTTTTGGTATCATCATCATGTTTATTCTGTGGTTGACTGCTGTTAAAGTCATGGAACTAAATAAGTGTCAGATTTAGAGTTCACATTTGGGTCTGTCTGACTCTAAAGCCCATGTTCTTTCTGCCACTTTCTGTTACTTTCCTTTCCTTTCCTTGGGTTTCAACAGTAATCTCTCAACTGTGATTAACTCTAAACTTTGCTCCCCTAGATTTTGGGGTTTTCTGTTGTATCTCTAAAGGACATTGGGAAATTGGCCCAGCCCAGGACTCTGCAGAATGGGGTGCCCTAATGTGAATTAATGTGTTCTCCTGTTAATACCTAGGCTCTGCTGATTGGAATTATAGTGTAAATTCTGTGAAGGAAATAACTGTCTTGTTTATTCTTTTTTTAAGTTTCTGTTCTTATTTTTTGTAACTGAAGTATAATTAATCTCAAATGTCATTTATTCTTGTATTTGGACAAGAGCATGTGGATAGGTAAGAACTGAAAGAAACAAATTAGTTTATTATAATAATGCAAACAAGATATGATGGTGACCTGGACCTGGGTGGTAAAAAGCGGTTGGACTGGGAAATAATTCAAAGGACCCACTGATAATATATGTGCACTCACAAATATTCTGGAGTTAGAGAAATAGAGGAATCAAACAGAATCCCTAGTTTTTTGATCCAAGCAACTAGGAGAATAGAAGTATCTTTAATTGGAGTAGGAAAACTGGCATGGGAGTAAGTTTAGGTAGTGAATCAAGGGATCTCTTAAGGACACATGTATTGCTTGGCTCTCCACATAGACTTTAAACTACTTGAGGGCAGAGGTGGCTCGATGGTAAAGAATCCATCTGCCAATGCAGGAGACAGCAGAGACCTGGGTTCGATCCCTGGGTTGGGAAGATACCCTGGAGAAATAAGTGGCAACCCACTCCAGTACTCTTGCCTGGGAAATCCCAAGGACAGGAGCCTGGTGGACTACAGTTCATGGGGTCACAAAGAGTCGGATAGGACTTAGCAACTGAGCGTGCATAGAGAGACAATGTGACTTCATAGTTTTCTTCCAACCCCAATAGTGCTTAGTACATGTGAAACCAAGTGCAACCCTGCAGGGCCTTCCTGGGAGACCCCTCCACCTCTTTCATGCCTGCCGCCTCTTGTTTGTAGAAAAGCTTTAGCCTCCTAGGCCTTCCCTGAGCTCCAAAGGTTTATTTTTTTGTTTGTTTTGGCTGCACAGTAGATGGGTTCTTAATTCCAAGGGTAGAACCCACACCCCTTGCAGTTGAAGTGCAGAGTCTTCACCACTGGACCACCAGGGAAGTCCACCAAAGAGCAGATTCGATGGAATGAGAAATGAGAATATGCAGAAACAAATCAGTCATGCAAGACAATAATAGTTTAGCTTCCCCCCCCCCAAAAAAAGTGCCTCTAGTTCCTCAAAGGCTATAGATAATAATTTGAGTCATATCCTTGTGTGTTTTATTGATTCTAAACCCCCACCAGATGGAAGAAGTTAATTGCATGTTGATTACCAGGACATAGACCCCAGGAGGTTGTTGAGGCTGACTCCTGAAATAACACCTGTTAACGTCATCACCAACCAATCAAGGACGTCCATGAGCTACTCATGAACATCTCAACTGTTTCTCCCACCTTGCCTTTATGTTTTTTTTTTTTCCACCTTGCCTTTAAAATACCTCCCCTGAAAGGCTTGGGGGAGTTTAGGTCTTTTGAACATGAGCTGCCCATTCTCCTTGCAGTAAACACTGTACTTTGCTTCAACAAAGCCCAATGTTGGTACATTTTTTCTGCACGCAGGAGGGCAGACCCACATTTGGTTTGGCATCACTTGGATGAGGAATCATTTGAGCTGGATCTTAAAACAAGGGCAGGGATGTGATGGGATGATTGTTAGGCAAGGAGGGCATGTGTTCCAGGACATGAGCAGAGGTATAGATAAGGAAGTATCCCGGGGCCTTCACAGGCTAGTTAGTTGAAACATGAAGTGTGTATAGGAAAGTAAGTGGGAGAGGAGATTAGAAAAGTAGGTTGCAGCTGGAGTTAGTTCATGAAAGCCCACAAATGCTGGAATAAGAAGTGTGTGCTTTATTTTGTAGGCAATAGGGAAAATCTGGTAATCTTTGATTAAGGAAGGGACACAAGTATTTTAGAAAGTTAATTGGACAGTGCTGCACAGGATCAATTTGAGATGGGAGATCCCTGTAAGGATGCTATTGTAGTGGTCTTGGGTAGAGTCAGAGAGGGGCCTGACTAGAGTGAAATGAAAAAGAGGTGGATGTATGAAATAGATTAGGATGTCTGAATTTGGTAACTAGTAATTTCATGTGGGAATCGAGCAATAGGATCAGTCTCCATTAATACTTGGAAATTTTTAGTATGAAGTCATAACTTGGGTTCCTGTCAAGTTTATTATTCCCTCTATGACTTTGTTTTAGTTACTGGTATAGAGCTCCACAGGGCGGACAGAGTTCCGTGACTGGGGGAGCCGGCAGAGTGTCAGAAACAGATGAATGACCTGAGTCAGCGGCATGGTATCATCAAGGTGCCTGTGGAGAAATGTATGAAATCAAGAGCTTTTTCCTGATCTCCTGGTTGGAAGAACACAGGCTTTGTAGTAAGACCTGGGTTGGAATATGGCTCCACCACTTGTTTAGCTATGCAACCTTGGGCCTCAGTTTCCTTTTTGGTAAGATAAGGTGGTTGTATTAAATTTTAAAAGGATGAAATATAGTAAATGCTTACCATAATGTTGTAGTAGCAATGGCAATGACTGACATCTTGTTGAATTTGCTGCACAGAATTTCTTTAGCCTTTCATTTTTCTTCTAATTCTGTATTCTGCTATTAGGACTTTGTCTCTCTGAAGCAGTTAATTCGCTACAGGCTGTCCCTATTATTTGCCAAAATACAGAGGACAAGTTGTCGGTGACCTTAAAATAACTTGCTCTTTGATAGACGGCTGTGTTATGACTTTTAACTGACTACCTATGTATCCCACGTGGAGTTGTTTTAATCACTTTCTATTTGTGCTTTCTTTTAAACGGATGCTAAAGGACAGTGCTTGTAGGAGAGTGAAGAATGCTAAGAAGTGAAGGAAGAGAGAATTAGGGAAAGGAGGGCATGCCCAGAGTTACAAGTTACTTGGGAGGGATAACGATCGCATCTCTTTTCGACTCGGATTTGCCCCAGTTGGCCCAGGAGCGCTTGTAGTTTAGTCGTTTCTGCGCATGTCGAGGTCTTTTGTCCCTCGGCGGACACCGTTGCCAGACCCGGCAATGTCTCCGTGCTCGTCGCTTTCGTAGAGTGCGGAATTCTACCTTTTTTTCCCACGCTTGCCATGGCGAGCCGAGGGGCCCGGCAGCGCCTGAAGGGAAGCGGGGGCAGCGGCGGGGACACGGCCTCGGCCACCGACAAACTGCGGGACCTGCTGTGCAGCCGGGAGCCGGGCAGCGCGGAGCCGCGGCCCGAGTAGGTGTGCGGGCGCGGCGGGGGCGTGGCCGGGCGGCGCGGGGCTGCCGCGGGCAGGGTCCTGCCGGCGCGGTGCGGGAGGGCCCGCAGCCGCTTCACCGCGCGCCTTCTGCGGGCCGGGTGCACGCTGGGGCTTAGATCAGACCCCCGAGTTCGGGCCCGTGCTGCTAGTGAAGAAACCTGGAGTGCAGGTCTGTGCGGCTTCCGCCCCAGGCCCAGGATTAGTTGGCGAGTGCAAAGAGCACCTTGTATGGCTGTCTGTCTCTCACAGCTTCAGTCTCCCCAGAGTCTCGGCCCTTTATCTTCTGTGTGGGACCCACCACCCTCCACACCAGTAGCCTCCTCTCTCTCCAAACTGGGGGGCTACAGGTTAAGACTGCGCCAGGGAGCTGTCAGCGAATGGAATTGGAGGACACGGTGATGTCCTTTGCACATAGTAGCCTCTGGGCATTTGAACAGACCGGGGAATGAATAAAAGCCATGTAAAATAATGACCTTGTTAGGAAAAGAAAGGGGAGAAGGAAATGGCAACCCACTCCTGTATTCTTGCCTGGAGGATCCCGAGGACAGGGGAGCCTGGTGGGCTGCTGTTCATAGGGTCGCACAGAATCGGACACGACTGAAACGACTTAGCATGCATGCATGCCCTGGGGAAGAAATGGCAACCCACTCCAGTGTTCTTGCTTGGAGAATCCCAGGGACAGAGGAGCCTGGTGGGCTGCCGTCTGTGGGGTCGCAGAGAGTCGGACACGACTGAAGCGACTTAGCAGCAGCAGCAGGAAAAGAGAAAAAACGAACGCAAGCTTGT